GCAGGTCGGATTCGAACCCTGGGACGCTGCAGCAAGGACTCAGCCTCGGTACATGGGTTGCCTGCTCTACCCACTGAGGTAACCGGGCGCCAATCAGTTCATTTCAATGGATTCACATCCATTAGAGTTCAACTTTGGTGACTTGTAAATTGACCAATAGCAAACCATCTTCACAGTGCTGACCTTTGAGGGGAAGGAGAGCGGAAGAGTCGAAAATGGACGATGCTGATATGGTAGCTTGTTAGCTGTGTTGCATAATTAAATGTTACTAAACTGAATATACAAGAGAGGAATGGTTCAGAGACAGGACTCGATGGATTTCGTCTCATGAATAAAAGTGTGAACTAAGCTAACCTAAGCTTTATTTTCCATCTTCAGTAACTTTTGTCTTGATAGAAATAGCGAACAAAATGTCAGGAGGGAGTAAACAGAATATGCACAGTCATGCAAAAAGTTTGCTGTAGCACTCTCTGATATGACCGTGCCTTAAGAATACTGTGAATACTGTGTGGATTCATTCTTCTTGTTCAAGAACATCACAGGGTTAAACAACAGCAACAAGCAAAATGCTGTAATGTATGCACAGACAGACCATTTAATACCTCAATCAGAGTAAGAAATCTGTAGTTCACAACAAGCACAGTGTAGCTTCTAATTAATTGGAGTGAAATGGAAAATCAAAGGCATAAAGCAATGATCTCACTGTGCTGAATAGAACAGAACTATTGTGTTAATACCAGCTGCAGTAATTGGAATATGAGTTTCCTTGTTAAAGCATGTACAATTATAGCGTACATTGTAATAAGTATCTGAAGCCCCTCGCAGACGTGTGTATCCTTTCGTACGTGATGGCAGTTTAACTTGTCGGTCTCATGTTTGAGTAAGAGCCTGGGCCACTATGTAAAAGTCATAGCAATCTCACTAGGTCACACATAGTAGGATGGAGCATGTTATGGCTTTTTATTAGAGGTTTGACTGTACAGGGATGACAGGAAACGATGGAAAAGAGAGACAGGGAATAACACGTAACAAAGGTCCTCAGCTGGACATGAATCCAATGCTTACGTCATGTTGGATGGATGGTATATAGGACACATTCCTGTGTTTCTAACCCAAGATGGTTGTATGATTACAGAGCTAACTCTGTGAGGGTTAAATTAAATCTAACTACATCGAATGACAGGCTTTTTGCTGACGTGGGGCATCCATGCTTGGCTGGTTTTCAGGCTTGTATTATTAATGCACATACATTGGTGTTATTTCCACTGGGGGCACTGGGGACATGTCCCCATCACTTTTTAAAATGGGTAATTTTGTCACAGTTACTTTTTAGAAGCATAATTTGTTAAAAAAAATGTTCTGAAAAATAGCTTGCACCAAGAAATAGCCTAAGGTTTGTAAACAGATCGTTGCGTCTTATTTGCCAGATTTGGCGGTGCATAATAAGATAGTGACTTACAGTACAGCGCTGCCTGCTAAAGTACTTTATAATGTCTTTTTTCCTCCTGGACATCATGCAGTTTGGGTTGCTGCAAATTAGGCAACTACACTTCTTTATTTATGTGTAACTAGCTACTGTACCTTCCTATGATTGATTATCCTGTGGCACCCGATGACAGCGGTGGTATTTGAGTTTAATTGTGTGAAATGTATAAATTAATTGATCGCGTGATCCAGTTTAAGATGCCAAATATCACACGTAATTATGGCTCTTGGACTAAAGCCGTAACACACAGCCATCACTTAAACACACAGATGAAGCAATACATGTTCAATGTCTGAAAAGGGCGAAAGGGATTTTTGATATTCATGACAGTACAGAAAGATTGATAGTTGACAACCAGCCAGCGTATGAGATCAAGTCGGCTCCGCGCAGAAATCCTAGAGTTCAATTCCCTCATGTTTGGCAAATAGGACACGTCTTCAGATAAAAACTCTTATAGTGGGCGTTTGGCCTTAAAGGCAGACATCAGGGGAACCACTACCTGTCACACACGCTCTGTTGAAAAGGTGTTTGAACCCAAAGACGTTCCACCTGAAAGCCAACCTACTTTCTTTCTCTTCTTATTCTCTGCCTCGGAGTCACTTCTTCTACTCTTTACATCCTCCTGTCAGGCTCAACCACCTCCTCCCGCTCTCCCGTATTCATTCATCCCTCCTGTTGTTCTTTCCATCTTTTCTCATTTTCTCATCCGCGCTTCCTCTCGCCCACCCCTTCCTTTTCCCGTTCCTCTTTTCTTGCAACTCCGATTTCACGCTTTGTACTCAATCACGTAGACAAACGTGTCTATGTATTCAGTCAGAAAGATGTGCCGTCGCCACCAATAGGTTTGTCATTCACCTGACCTTGAGAGAAGATTTCCCAGGCTCACAGTTTGATTTGGTTACAGCCAGAGATACTAAAAAAAAGCAAGGAAACCAAATATGTTTTCTCTTCCTCCTCCTCTTCAGAGTTTTGAAATTGGCCTTTTCAGCTTAATTTTGCATGTGGTAATATTTACACATTTTAGAATAAATGCCAAAAGAGCTGCTCAGTTTTGACTGATCTGATTTTAAACACATTTAGAGGGAAGCGGTGTCAGTTTTGGCCCGCTTTGACCCACATTCGTCGCTCTTTGTTGTCACAGATTTGAGATCAGTCACCACTGAAGTCCTAAAAACCTCCATAAATGCCTCCTCGCTCTCTGCCCTTCTCATCTTTCTCTATCAGTCTATCGATCCATCCGTTGCTTTTACTCCCCGGCTCTTTCTCATCTGTACTTTTAAATTAATTGTCTTTTTCTCAATACTCTGCCTTCCTCTCATTCCTCTTTTTCTATCTCCTTTTTGTTTGTTCCTCACTCCCTTTTGTCTCATTTTCTTCCTCTCTTCCCTCCTTTCTGTCCCTCTCCTCCCTGAAGGCTTCATTGTTACATTTCTAACGTTAA